ATAGTCCACGTCTCAATGCAATCAATATATTGTAACTGTTAGAATAACAGGTGAATACATGCACATGAAAACCAACAAATAAACTAAGTAATAGTAGGCAAAATCAAAACCCTTAGCTACACTACATTATAAAATTACTTAGTTCAACTTCTATTTCACTCATATATACTGCAACTTGAAAATAAAAGATTGAGTGAGTAAAACTAAAATCATCATTGCCAACAATGAATATTTATTCATTTAGGCATTTTGAAGACCTTTGAAACTGTAAATAGAGAAAAATGTTGAAACAGCTCTGTCAGTTTCTTTTATTGACTTTTTCTCTATGATGTATAATATTTTAGTCATAAGCAGTCTGATCAGTAAGCAGCTGTACAGAAATTTGTGGAAGGAAATTGTCAGAGAAGTCCAAACATTTCTGGCTGTAATATTCAAACATAATGAATAATTTAAATAAAGATGTTAAATATGGACATTGGTAATAAAGAAAGATATTGGGTTAACAAACAGATTTAGTGTGATTAACAGAGAGAGATAAGCTTGACTTTTGCCTATTGCATTGAACTTAACAACTCTAAATCAACACGAAACCACAGATAATTGTATGTAGTCAGGTCCTTTACTTGATTTTCAAGAGCATTTGAATTTTGGTCTAAAAAGGTTCTCTTGTAGGCTCCTAAATACCACTTTTTGGTGTCCATATGGCAAATGGTAATTTTAATCAAGGATTTGTTGGTCCCAATGAGAATCTGCATTAAATCATATGATAATGAATCTTAATACTTTTCAAATATTTAGTAACATGCCTCAAGAATCTAGGAATAAATTTATCACCTGAAAAACAAGTTTCAATGTCTAAAACAAACCAGAGCTTAACCATAACTATTGATCAGGCTTACAGAAATACTGTAATTAGAAAGAATACTCTTCCAACCTATTGATCACAGAGATTTCCAGAAAAAAATTGGCAAAATACCAGTCTACTAGCATATCATGTCACAGCCCTTCCCAGAACATCATTCTATAATTATTACAAAACTGAAACAGTTATTTAAGGGCTGATGACACTGTAATACTCGAATATCTCTTTTGCATCAACAAATTAATCATAATTATGATTGTCTTGTGATTTTTAAACTGTTTCAAAAATGTCTAAGTAGATGAAGACTAAAAAATATTGTGCTATTGGCAATGCTAGTGATTTCCAATGGGATTATATAATAAATAGCATCCTCTGGTATCTTGCACAAATTCATGGCAAAGTACCTTATTTTTTTGTGAGGAAACTTGTTAAAGTAGCAATACTGCAATGAAAAATTCTTGCCATGGAAAAAATTGAATATTACCGAGGAAGGTGTCATCTCATTCTGACCTATTAACTTTGAAGGTCTAATGATCATATATTCTGCACCGTAAAAGATTCTAGAATGTCACAACAATTCACAGAGCCAACTGATTTTTTTCTCTCTCTTTCAACATAACACATTCTTGTCACCTTTGCCTTGACTTTTTAAAAAAAAAAAAAAAACAGAGATATATATACATGGTATATCTAAAACTGGCAATGGTCATATGGTCATTCTATGAATTCAAAAAAATTCAAAACAATCTCAAAATGTCTAGCCACAGTCTTATATTCAAAACAATCTCAAAATATCTAGCTACAATCTTATAATGATTAGCACAAAGTTAACATCACTAAACATGAAAATGATAAAACATCTTTAAAATACATGTATCTGAAAAGCTGATAAGACCACAATGACCAATGGTAATGTCAATTAACTGATTAATTACAAACTTGTATTCATGAATTATATTCTTTTTTTCTCAGTTAACTTCCAAAGTATGATCTCTTCAAAACTTTTTCTTAATTACTGAATTCCTACAATTATAAAGATTTCACATTTTGGAAAAAAAAAAAGAAACACTCACTGAATCACTGAGACTTACCACTGAGTCTTTGTACTGTTTGTAAGAGGTAAAGGATCAAACAGTAGACACCATAATAGATTAAATAGGACACTAACAACAAACACAACCATATCAGAAAGAGTTCAGGATGGTCCTCAAAGAATGGGCATCTCAGCATCAGGCTGGCTTAATTATCACAATGGCTGAATTATCACAATGGATACAACTGGTATTCACTTACATCAGCAATGAAGCAAAATCATTCAATATCAAAAAAGTATGAAATTACTGTCCTGAATTATACTGTTTACTAAGATTCAAGAATAAAAAATAAATTTGAAAGCTAATCTTGGCAAGGTCCATCTTTATTTCAGACTGGTGCCTGAAGATATGGCATTGCAATGTTCTAATCCAGGTTTGTCATAGTATGACTGTCAGAAATTCCTAAATAATGTAATTCATTCACATCAATGCTTCAAAATTCAATATGAAATCCTGTTTTGAATAAAAGACAAACTGATTCTTTGGAAACTGAGCACACAATGATTTTTCCTATCTTCAACAAAAGAGAGTAAAAAAAAAGATAATTTGAAAGCAAAATAAAGTGCAGTGTCCTTCAGACACAGATAGTTATCAGTAGTATCATAGAATGAGAGTGTATCTTCAATCAGTCTTGTTTCACCAAACATTTTCTACTGATTTCTTGGGTGATAACTCCACTGAAAATCAGGAAGATCAATAGACAATGTGTTGCAGTAGAGTATAAGTTTGCAAAATCCATTATCCCTTTGGCTGCACCCTTCACTCCTTGGTGAAATTTTCTCCTTATGTCTTGTATATTACATGCACATTAGGAAAAATGTGTGCAAGTAAAATCTGTGTACGCTAGGCTGGCTGAGACCATCACTTCAAGGTTGCACTGCTATAAATGTTTAATCAATTCTCCTGGCAAAGTAACTGATCACGACCTATTCTATTTTCATTCAATGAAAATCAGCCACATAGTAAACAGTAATTAACTGAAATGATGTCATTAAAATGATTCTTATGAGTTTGAACCAATACCTAATAGGGAAACTGTATACCAAAGCCATATTTGGTCTAATAATTACAAATATGAACTTATTCAACAACGAACAATCTTTTATTGAACTGAAGTTTACACACACACATACACAAAAAGATGGGGAATCTATTACATTTAAATGATAAATAAACACATTCTTAATCTATGGAATGTAGATCCTCTATAATTAACCCAGCCTTTGGTTTTACACTGATTAACCAGATACCCCCCTAAGGAGCCCCTTTACATCAGCAGCTGAATATGCTGTCAATAAAGCTGTGTAGCTGAATGCCTACATATGATTCAGCAGGCTGTAGCCATAGCAACCAGTTATCCCAGACACTGAGTATTGATCTGATCTGCATGCTAATCACTTCCAGGCAAAAAATAACAGAGCTCTTGAACAACTAAACTGCAGACATACTGCACAACTGAATAATAAAATTAAAAAAAAAAAATTAGGAATTGAACAAACAATATGGGCTATATATGTATGATGATGAAGTGATTACAGTAATTAGCACAGTATATCTATAAAACTTTATGCCTCCTTCATCCTTTACCGAGACAGCTGAATAAGTCTATACATCATGTACATATTCAACCCTAAAATATCTAAGTAATAACATTTTTGATTTATAAATCTGTAAACTGAACATGTTTCTCATGATCCTTACAGTCTGGTAGATCACTAAAAGTGTACTTTACATGATATTCATCAGTGTTATTCTTTCTGCCTCCGTTTAAATGACATTTTGTTTAAATTCATTATTAATGACTGAACTAATTAGATGTGAAACAAACATTTAGAAAGTCATTCTTCAAGAAATAATGTTAAGAAATATCAAAAGAATTACAATCAACAAAAGGATATGCGTCCATTTGATTATCATCATAAACAGACCAAAAGAAAAACATCTTGCACTTTGCTTTCATTTTTCCATATACAAACTTTTAGTTTCTCAGGGTTTGTTTTGGGTTTTTTTTAACTGCATATCTAGGCAGTGTGCAGAATACATTAAATACTAAACACCATACAACAGTAAACAAATTACCCCATCTGGGCCTCATTTCTACAAAATTTTCTAAATACCAGCACATCAAGCATACCTGACCAAAGTCACAAATAACCATGTTCATAAAAAGACAAGATAATTGAACGATGGTTATTTAGAAGAGAAATAGAAAGCTTTGCAATCTATTACCGTTCCACGGAAATGCTGAGAAAGAGATGTAACTGGTTTAAGTTCATTATCATAACACCGCGCCCTTTAGTCATCACTGCACTCCTTCTATATTCTTTTGGAAATATTTGCATCCACAGAAAAATTCACACTAAAAACTTATTATTTGATTGTTATATTTCAAGAAAAAGTATCATTGCTGTCGGAGTGTTTTAATAAAAATAGATATACTTACAAGATTTTCAGAAGCCGCAGAAATATCACCGTCCCAAATGAAGCGAAATTCGATAATTTGATGGAACAGCGCTTCCGGTATAACAAGATTTGCAGTATTAAAAAGTTTTCGGATGCTTCATATATGATCAATTTGCTTTTTATGGAACCCTTAATTTATTTTACAATTTCTCTTGTTTGAATTTACAAATTTTGCCTTAACTTACTATCTAATTCTTACAAAAATACAATATAGATACGAGGGAGGTGAAATGCCTTGCATCTAATTGAGAAACCTAAGCAGAAGAAATTTTTTCCCGGATAGTTAAGCATGCATGTATAGAATTTTTAATAATTACATGTATCTGATTTAAAAAAGACTTAAAAGAGAATATATTAAGCAATAAAAACTCATATCAAAAGAATATTTTATTGTTATAATTTTTAAACCCATAATTGGACGTACGAGTTGACCATGATAAATTCACAACTTTCACTTTCAATATATTATATATTGCAATTTTTCTTCAAGTAACTGCAAACCTCCTCTGGAGTATTACCGCAGTATTATCGTCGAAATTTTTACTATTACAGGTAAGACCAAGTTTGTTGTGGCCGTAAAAAACAAGAGTTGATCAAAAGTCTTTAGTAAGTGTGTATGCTTAACCATGTTAACCGTAAACTAACATGAAAATGACACATAAAAAGATACGTAACAGATGTCGAACATTATTGAGAGCACAAAGAGAATAGTCAGGTCAGCTGTGTGAATTGTGGGTGTGTGTTTACAAAGATGTTCAATGAAATTAGTTCAAGTTTACGCCACGTACATCTGGCTTATATGTTATTTCCTGAGATGTTTATACAAAGGTAGAATACATTTGACATTTGGTTTTACCCAATTTATCATTCATTAATGATACTTCTTGTGCATTTTCTTCAATAGTTTTAAGTGATTTTATTAATTTATTCAGTTGGAAAAATACATAGTAATCAAATGACTAAGGTAAGGCTTTGATCATGGTTTGACTGTATTTTCAATAAGCAAAGAGCCTGTTCATTTATGATATTTATATTAAAGCCTCATTCACTAAAAAAGGAGTCTTTCTGTCATTCTGATAAAAATATGTTCCAGGAAATTCTTTAATGTAATTGAAAGACTAAACAACTTTACAAACAGGTGTTGTGTGGTTTGATTTTTTCATCTTTCTAAGTTTTCGATCTCTCAAGGTCAGGTCTCTCTTGAAGTATTTTCCAGGTTGTGTTATGTAAAATCCTCTATATTCTACTGTAACAGTACTTGTGATCACGTGAAGTCTACAGGTATTAATTACACTGTCATCCACTATGCATGTCAGTACCAACCATAGCAATGCATGAATCCATATTCTGGTGTTAAAAGGGTTAATTAATATGGATGTTTAAGTTGAACTCTCATTACATTGTATCAATAGACACATTTTTAGTTAAATGAATAGAAGAAAGCTTAAATTTAACAGAAATTTTGAAAAAGTTAACTAGATTGTTTAGTTTTGTTAAAGGGACAACCTAAATCATCAAAGAAAAGTATCCTTAACACGCCTTTATACATATTGATAATGACTGAAAAACTTACAAAAGTAGTTCATTTATCTAATTAAGATTTACTCTTCTACTTTTCGCTCAAGCAGTGATTACTGTATACAGGGAAATTTTTGTCCCCGTTTTATTTTTGCCCCTTTCGCCTACTCCCAGGTTGGCAAATTTAAAATGGGGTGAATTCAAAAAACACAGTATAATTTCTTAAACAGAACTGTGATTGGGTGAATTTAAAATGGGGCAAAATTATTTACTAGTGTGAAAGGGCAAAAATAACCCTGTATACAGTATATCCTTCAGTGAAAAATATCCCAGTTCTGAAAAGATCGCAGCACTGTTAAGGCTACATATAAAGGGGGCAGTGCTTACCATTGCATTAATTTTTGTCACTAGTTTAATCCCATACAGCAAGATAGATCCCAATGCACAGTTGTCAACATGCATAACAGACATCATCATGGTAAAATTTGTAAAAATTATATTTTCTTGTGTTTTTTTTTTCAGATGACATGACTCTTCAACAATGCCAGTTGATCATGGATCATTTTTTCAATTGTTTGTTGTGTCAAACATACTTCTAAAAACCATTATTTGTGAATTTACAAAAGAAATCCCATTTCCAAAGCATGTTGACAATGTAGACCATTCCCTTATTTGGGCAGTGAAAGTAAAGGATGTGGGTTGTGATATATTTAATTTGGGTATTTCAAGACAAAGTGGAATTACAAAGAACGATCATGATGATGTTGTTTTCCAGTTTTCATACAATTCAGGAAATAAACAACCCAATTTTCATCTTGCCCAGAAGATAACAAATGATTGTAAATTAATTTATATTGAAACTATAGACATTTTACAAGACACATATTTATTAGGATTTGATATAGATAAGCTTCATCATTTTGACTCCAATTACAAAAACAGTTCTTCCATTTTAAAATCGTATAGTACTCTTCACACAAAGCTCCTACATGATCACTATATACAACATGTCCCAGACTTGTCTTTCAACTTCATCCGTGACTCCCTGTCGCAGTGTTTGGAGTGGCATCCTATGGTGGAATGGTACAGTCAACAAAATATACGAAGAAGAACCAAGAGGGAAATAGATCTTCATTTTGTAGATCCATTTTTTAAATTACAGTGGCATCTTGTAAGTACATGTATGTATGTGATATCATATTTAAAAAAAAATCATTAAGTTAATTTTATGTCTGTTAAAAAGTTGATCAGTGGTATACTAGCATATTTTTCTTTATTTGCATGATTTCTTTTTTTGTTTCTTTGTTTTTATATGTCAACATTGTTATCCTTGGGGTTAACCCTTCCATATATTTAAAACCATTGAAATATAACAGTTTAGTGTTTATTTGGGCAAGGCAGGGGCGTCAGCAAAGGGGCGACAGGGGCGCTACCGCTGCCCCAATAATTTGCAAAAAAAAAAAACAATGAAAGAAAAAATGAATTTTAAATGAGAAATACAGAATTACAAAATTTGTAATGGCAATATCTGTGGTCAATGGAGCGGCAAGAATAACAGCAATCTGTGGTCAATGGAGTGGCAAAGTGTGAAATCTATTGTTTACACAGACGCAAATATTGGAATGTACGTGTATATACATGTACCTGTACCTGGTGTGCGTAAACAGTAAGCATGGTATCCATCACTCTATGTGCAAGTTTGCTACAAATTCTCCATCAGGCGCAAAGCTAGAAACGTTTTTGGAAATTCTATTTGGGGGTGGGGGGTGGGGGGGGGGGGGTAGGGATTCTCTAAGTTTCCAGAATTTTTTTTCTTTTCAAAATGAAATGCTGGAATTTGCCTGAGTTTGACCAAACAGCAACAAAAAGTGTGTATGAAAGGGGGGTTGGGCAAGCAGCGTCTGAATAAATGAATTTTTACCTATCAAAACTTAAAGAGGCAGGGGGGTTGTGGCCATTTTTAGACTATATTGATCTCCTTTAAAAAGAAGAGCTCCATATGAAGATATAGAAAATGATCAAATTTTAAAACTAAAATTTTTGAAATTTTTCTTTGCCAAATGATAGTTGACAGCTTAAGATATCATATCTAAAAAATTAAGTTAAATCTGGTGGTTAATTTGTGGTTAATTTGTTGACCCCCCAGCCTCCTTAAGCAAATAAACTATTCTCAGAAAAAGTGGAGAAATTGGGAAAAAAATGGAGCCCCGACCCCTTTCCGACACTTTCCCCCACATATAACACTTTAACAGGCCTGTTCATTGTCTAATGAATTGGATGATCGATGTTTGGAAATCTTTGATGAATCGAAATTGAAAGCTATCAAATTAAAGCAAAATACTAGGTAAAAATTACTTTTTAAAACAACTTCAGTTGATTTTTTTTATAATGTCATACCTATTTCTGCATTTCAAAAATGGAGGGATTATGAAGGGTTAATCACCCTGTTTATTTTAAAGTTCATAACTATGCATTCTTTTGGCAAGTAACAATAAATATTATACAATAATTGAATATTATACAATAATAGAAAATTATATGTATTTTAATCTTTACCTCGTCATTAACCCTTCAAAGTTCTTTCTATGGAGTTTCAGGGGAAAAAACAGCTCCTACATGTAGCTACTTAAAAATATTCTGGTTTTGTATTATCTGGTTTTATTTAAAACACATAAATCATTTTATTTTTTGGGGGTTGCATGTTTAATTGTTCTTTTTCAATCAGAAAATACGCCTAGGCTATTGACTTAATGGGAAAAATATCCAGATTCTGGCAGAAATTTTAATCATTTAGTTTATGTCTCACAAAAAGTTGGTTAGGGACCCCCCCTTCCTTTTAGATCCAATTTGCCTCCCAAATGTCGAATACTTGCCGACGCCCCTGCAAGGTTAGGAGAGAGAGAGGTCAGAGAGAGAGAGAGTACATGTATTATGTCACTTAGAAGGTCTAGATTAATGCTCTGTGTCAGACCAAGGTTGTCTTCAAAGATCACAAGAGAAAGATTTACACTTCATTGTCTTTTCATAGCAGATTTCAATAAGTGTTCCAGTGATTCATAAAAATGTCCTGAGAATCCTCTAATTTATCAAGTGTTATGGAAATTGCTAATGTATAAGCTTATCTTCAGAAAATATTTTCCAATGTGTCATATATCCTTAGGGAGCTAATGGATTTGTCATAAAAGTTTTATTTCTATTCATAGATACATTACATAATTTTTCGCTGTGACATACACAAATTTGCCATTTTCTTTAAAATGCTTCATATGACACATGTATCTTTAAATGAAACATCTGGTGAATACAAGAATAAACTTTTAACATGTTTAGGTATTCATTTTGCCAAAAAAATATTGATAATGTCTTAGCATATTTTTTTGTGAATTAAGATCCATTATCTTAATCCTTGTGATTAATTCAGCTAGGGCTTTTCAGTCCTTTGATGTTGATCATTGTTTTACTGTTAATGATAATTTAGCTAATCACAGTTTACCAGGAAGTTTGAAATTTTCTTTGATGTTAGTTATCAGAAATATTTACTGCAAAATCTACTTTTTTTCTTTAAGACCAAACACCTGTCAGTGAATGATTTAACTTCAAAAGTTACTTTGAGACAATAAAATAGAATTATTTTTATTTGAATTTCTAAATCTCAATCAATGATTAGAAAAAGGCTTATTAATAAGTTCATTTTGTTCTATTTACCAGGTATTTTACCAAGAACAATGCTCCTTATACATGAAGCGACATTTTGTTATTGTTTGAAAGTGAGAATTTAAGACACACTGTACAAAACGTTTGCCTCATAATTAATCAGTAATTAATTATGTCATAAAATTACAGATTAACAATAAACGGAAAGACATGGACATTAATGTAACAGGGGTATGGGAGAGAAACATAACAGGTCAAGGGGTCACAGTGGCTGTTGTTGACGACGGTGTAGAATGGAATAATCTTGACCTCAAGGACAATTACAACAGGGCAGGTAGCTGGGACCTAAACTCAAATGACCCTGACCCCTCTCCAAGTGCCTCAAAAGGTTGGAATCATCAAACAGACTCTTTAAAGAATGAAATATTATGTACTCGGTACATTAGACGATTTCTTCTTAATTTTGTGTGCTTTCAGATTCTAACCACCATGGAACACGATGTGCAGGAGAAATAGCTGCAGTCCCAAATTCTTATTGTGCTGTGGGAGTGGCATACAGAGCACAGTTTTCAGGTAACTGTAGTTATTCATCATGTTCATTGTCTGTCCTATCCACACTTTAAATGTATAGATCTACTGTAATGTTCATGCTGTGATTTCAGGTCTGAAGGTTCTTGATGGGCCAATGACAGACAGCCTGGAAGCTCAGGCCTTCAATAAACACCTGCAGATCAATGACATTTACAGCTGCAGGTGGGATCATAACCAGTCAATTCAGTTAAATAAGTTTGTGTGATCATAAAAAATAATACCATATTATAATGCTGTGAGAGTTATTCCCCTTTACACACATTTTATCATCCTGAAGTAAATCTCCCTAAAATGTGTAAACAACCAACCAAATTAAAACTTTAAAAGAGTTTCCAAAGTTTACTCTATCAGAAGTACATGTTTATCACTGTTCCTCCTGACTTTACAGCTGGGGTCCGGATGATGATGGGAAAACTGTGGATGGACCACATGTTCTGGCAAAGGTTTGTATTGCCACAAAGTTTTCAAAAAATTTCATTACATGCTTGTGTTTGCTTAAGCCTCATGGCAAGTAATTTGCTGAATTTTCTTTTAATTTAAAATGATATCTTTTTTTACAGGCAGCTATGCAGTATGGCATAGACTTTGGCAGAAATGGATTTGGGAGCATATTTGTTGTTGCCAGTGGAAATGGAGGTCATTTCCAAGACAACTGTAACTATGATGGCTATGCTAATTCTATATACACTGTCACTGTTGGTAAGTGATATGTGTTTTTAACCCACACCATTTGTTAAATGTTGTAGGAGGATATTGCCAAAAAAAATCAATCTTGTGTATATATAAATGTGACAGCTGGTTTCAATGTTTTTAATGATATTTATTTGATAAATCAGCTTTTTCCATGTTGTGCTCTAGGTGCTGTCGATGAAGATGGAAACATGCCTTTTTATGCTGAAAAGTGTGCCTCCATGCTTGCAGTCACTTTCAGTAGTGGAACCACAAAGCATAGAAGCATTGTATGAACAGATAATTTCTTTTATCTAAAAATCTGAATATATCCTTCTAGATTATTTCTCAAATTAAAAGCTCATGCTTAATGGATGGAGAGAGAATATACATGTGTTGAATGTTATTCAAAAAGTGACATATTTTCTTGAATTCACTCAAGATGAATGTTTGACCATTTCCTGTAGGTGACCACGGACTGGACTTTGAAGGGAGGGGGAGGGTGTACCACCACCCACTCAGGGACCAGTGCTGCGGCACCCCTGGCGGCGGGAATGCTGGCACTTATGTTACAAGCCCGCCCCTGTCTCACTTGGAGAGACATTCAGTACCTCATCATAATGACTGCTCAGAAAGTCAGTGCCTAAGTCCTTAAAACATGAAATCATTCATTAGACAAAAAATACTCTCTTTAATGTGTTTATTTTTATTTTTATTTTTTTGTATAAGAAGACATCATTTCCTTTGTATTTTAAAGTTAAAAGGAGTATAGGTGCATGGTGCATAAGAAAACTGCAAAAATATGTTAAGTACATGCAGTGATATTAATTAATAAGAATATGCACAAAGATTGATTTGTGTGTTCTTTGAAAGTTTGAATTCAATTCAAAGTAGGGATTAAAATCATGAGGAAGCCCACTTTCTGTGACATGAGTAATGAACCTGTTTTATTGGTTATAGGTAGATATAGATCACTCAGAATGGAAGAAAAACCAAGCTGGTTTATACCACAGTCACAAACATGGGTTTGGACTCATGAAAGCCTGGAGACTTGTTAATGCAGCAAAGGTACATGTAACTACATGTACTTTTGACACAAAATCCATTTCATTTTATTACATGTGCATATATTGCATTCTAATCATTTTTCTTATCACCATTTTTCTGAATGACAAAATAATATGATTGATATAGAATTTCAGGTAACGCTCATTGTTGATAATGATATATTACTGTAGATTCCTAAATATACATGAGAAAGATCTTTATTATCATGTATATTAAGAAACACCATTCACAAAATAGAATTACTCAGTTTTATATTGCTGAAATGCGTGTAAAAACTCTTGATTGAAATTCCACTCCCTATTTCGTGTTCTCGGGATTCGACATCTACTAGCCGTTTCATGATTAAAAGTACTTGCATAAGATAAGGAATCTGCATGCAGTTATTAAATAAAATTACATTTTGTGGTAAATAAATTATCAGTAAAGCCCACAATGTTGAAATGTTTAATTATAGGTATGGGAGACAGTTCCATGGATCACTTCATACCTGTATTCTAGTGATGAAATCCATCTACAGATTCCTAAAGGGACCAATCAGCATTTAACAATCACTCATACAGGTAAACAGGACAAATTTATAGGTGGACATTGATATACATATATGTAGAGATTTATTTAAAAATCATAGAAGCTTTGATTTACAACGAAAGATAGGAGCTTCTTTGCTCATTCTAGATATCACTATTTTATGGACAGGTAAAAATCAGCTTGTTTTTTATCCACCCCCGTTTTATTTTCACCCCTTTTGCCCTTGTTGCAAGTGGATGAATTTTAAATGGGAAAAATAAAAAAAAGACAGCATTATCTTTTCAACACAACCGTAGTCTGGGCAAATTCAAAACAGGACTAAATTGTTTGCAAGTGGGAAAGGGTGAGAATAACATTGGGAGAAAATAACCCTTATACAGTATTCCCTCACATTCCAAGAGGGTTTCAAAATTAAAGAATATTCAACAGTTTTCTTTTTAAAATCTTTGAATGAAGAAAAAAAATATTATTTTGTCATTTTTATACTAAAGGATGTATATTTACATGTTATATAGGATCTTGTTTCTGAAATGCCTAGAACAATACTTTTCTGAGGCTGGGGGGATATCATAATTCTAGGTTAAGTAATGATACTTTGTTTTCTAAATGTGAAAAAATAGCTATAAAATTTATTCCCTATGATTTAATTTTCTATCATTAATTGTAAAAAATAAGACAATTTTCCCTTCAAAAAGGCTTTCAAGTTTTCAAATTTTAAATGTAACATCAAGCGGACTGATACGTCTCTGACTACATGTAGGTTATTGTGAGATGTAGACAACACAGGTTATAACATGTACCAGTAGATTTCCTATTCAATAAAAAGACAGTTACATTCAGATATGAATTATTCTTGTATAGATTGAAAGAAATGGCAATACGTTCTTGTACTGTTAAAATACATGAACTATCCAAAGACAATTACATTTGTACCGGCCAGTAAAGAAATGTACCATAGTTGGTAAGAAGGTAACTGTGACTAATATTAGCTATGAAATTTTGTTGTAGAGTAATTCTAGTGTATAAATTTTCTAGTGACAGAGGAAGATATCACAGGGTTGAATCTATTTATCCTGGAGCACATCCAGTTGTTCGTGACAATCACTCATCCATGTCGCGGTAAACTGGAGATTGTCCTAATTTGTCCAAGTGGTACTCACTCTATCGTAGCCACTCCTCGGGCAGCTGACAGGTAAGCTAAATATTTGTTTTCATCTGTCCTTGTGATACTCACTCTTGTCATAAACATTCCTTGAGAAGCTGACAGGTGAGCTAAATATGTTCTCATCTGTCCAAGTGGTACTCGCTCTATTAATATAGCAACTCCTCAGGAAGCTAACAGGTGAGCTAATTATTGTCCTCATCTGTCCATGTGGTATTCACTCTATTGTAACCACTCCTTGGAAATCTACAGGTGAACTACTTATTGTCTTCATCTGTCAAGTGGTATTCACTCTATTATAGCCTCTCCTCTGAAACTGAGAGATGAGCTAATTATTGTCCTCATCTGTCTGTGATACTCTATTATAGCCTCTCTCAGGGAATCGGACAGGTAAGCTATATATTGTCTTCATCTGTTAAGAGGAACTCGCTCTATTGTAACCACTCCTTGGAAACCAACAGGTGAGCTAAATATGGTCTTCATTAGTCAGAGTGGCATTCACACTATCGAAGCTACTGCACTGAAAGCTGACAGGTGAACTAGAAATTTTCCTGATTTCTTTGAGTGGTACTCACTATATTTTTGTAGCTCCTTGAGGAGCTGACAGGTAGGCTTAATAGTGTCCTCATCTGTCCAAATGGTACCCACTCTAATGTAAACACTCCTTGGAAAGCTGACAGGTAAGGCAAATATTGACATAATCTGAGTGTACTCAGTGACAAACACTTTTATAACCACTCTTAAAGTTGACATGAGCTAAATATTGCCCTAATCTGTCCAAGTGTAACCCACTTCATTGTAAGCTTACAGGTGAGCTAATTATTGTCCTAATCTGTCCCAGTGGTACTCACAAAATAGAAGGTATTCCTTTTTGAAGCTAAATGGTAAGATAATTGCTCCCTGGCTTTGAAAAGGGAATTGTCCAAAAAAAAAAGCAGAATTTCAGGGAGTTACTCTGTCATGATGGAGGTTCACAGTGAGATATTTCTGACTCAGCACCACATAACCTCAAGTCCAAGGTATATAAGGATTGTATGGATGTTAACTGAGGCTCTTACTTGTAGTAATAGGCAGGTAGGCAGTTAGAGGGACTGACATTATACTTTTTAGTGAATTTTTTTTGTACTTAATAAATTATAGTTTGGGTGTTTAAAAATACATGTATCCAACAATTCTGCAGTAAAATTCGTGTACATCAAAGTGTCAGGTAACAATATTGATTCGTTATAGGTGTTATTTCATATATGTAAAAAGTTAAATACATTTTAAAACTACAGGGAATGAAAATCACTTTGCTCTAAGCATGAAAACATAAGCATGTTCAGTGTAACAATGATTTCTTTATTTTTGAAGTACATACAAGACCACTTAATGATTCAGAATCTATTCTCAGCTGGGAGAGATGTCCTTGAATTTGAGTGATAGTTTTATTTGATAAGAGTTTTAAGTATATTCAGAGTAATCTGTATCTTACACACTTCCTCTTCCTTATTCAGTGATCTATATTTATAAAACTATTTTTTGTAGAAAGTTACATCACCAGAAGGGAAAGCATTTGATTGAAAAATGCCCTTTTCTCTCATTTTCCTGTATTTACTAGATAAAAAAAAATTGCTTAAATTTCAAAGTTAACATGTTTACCAGTAAATAAGTATGTATTATCTTAAACTTTAAAAAAAAGAAAAGGAACACACATGAATCTTAATGATCACCCAAGTAATATCATGCAGCAATTGTTTTTCAGAGATACAGTTTGATCTGTTTTCTAGCATATCCCAGTAATAACTATTATCCCATCAGAAAAATATTAGATATTTGTATCAAAGGTCAAGCCACATCAAACCTGAGTGGTGCATTTGAACAAACTTTGGTCTCTTCCATATGGAAATGCTGGCATTACGTTTTATTCGTTACCTTGTTCTTAAGAAGTATTTGAAGAGTTTTTATTTAGTTACTGTATTCTATTGAATTCTTTTCACTCTCCCTAACTGAAGGAGGCAAATGATTTAAAATCTTTGAAAATAAAGTTTAATTATTTTATCTAAACATGAGTTTTATTGCATTTAGGTCTGATAAAGGTTTTCAGGACTGGGCTTTCAGTACTGTAAGATGCTGGGGTGAGGATCCAGTAGGAGTGTGGAATGTAACCATTACTGATCATGGTATTGTTGGAATTTCTTAGTGTCTAGACAATCCTGATAAGTACTATAAAATAGTATGTACAAAAATGTACATGTAGTACATTTGTATGTCTCAGGTCACATTGTCTTGTGTCTGCATTTCTCTGTATAAATAATTAAATTCCATCTAATCTGATGATATATAAATTTATGAAAAGATTTATTCATTTTGTTTCATTTACAACATTCAAATTTGGGTAATTAATATAAATTCTTTAAGTTAGGACTTAATTAGAACTCTTCTGTAAATCTTTACTGTCATCAGCTGACAATTTGTTCCAGATACAAGGACTTATGGGGCTGGCTATGTACAGCACTGGAAACTTAAACTGTATGGAACCTGGATCACAAAACAACAGTTTGCAAACAGGAAAAGGTAAAAGCCAATATAATCATAATTCAGATGCCAAAAATGCTTCCTGTGTTGCATACAGCATAAAGTAAATAAATCCTCTATGCTTTATCAGAATTCCTTAAATGTTGTAAACAGAGTATTAAAGTTAAACTCTGATGTAATATGAAACCTTTATTTTACAATAACTGACAACAGCCCGATTTAAAGATCCCTTGCTTGTACAGTATGCACTGTACACTTACAGGGTTGTCCCTAAGACCTGGGGGCAGGGGATTTATACCGCCTATAATGACATTATCCCCTGGCTACTCTGGTATTCCCCATCAACCCCTTGTTAGGGGAGGAACCCCAGATCCCCTTCTACTTTTTTAATATCTCCTCCTATTTCAATTCTTAAGGACAGCCCTGCACTTATGTAAGAGAGATTTGATCATATTGTTCTGTTTATATTTTTAGGCGGATTGAGGAAGCAATGGATGGTCGGTTCCTTAATGACAGTTACCAGCTGCCCTGCCCCAAGGTGGGCCCCGATGTTCCTCCAAAACACCCCCTGTCACCAAAATTACTAAAGGTACTAGTATCTGGTATATGTCATGTAAAGGAGGGAGCCCTTTAAATTTAAGTCTTATAAATGAACTAGGTAAATAAACAACACACTAGATCCAGAATTCATTACTACACAGTGGATGTTTATTTGAATCTATATTTATATACATGTATCTAGATATGATAGAATTTTAGTTGCTCTATAAATAGCTGGTACTTACTCAACTTCGGTTGTTTAAAGCATTACAAAAGAATGTTGAATAAAGATTTATCAAATTGTATACCATTAATATGTATTAATGTAGTTAAAATATATGCATTTAAGTAAAGTTTCCACATTCAAAGTTGCAGAGCAGGAAAGGCAATTTACTTTTCAATGTTCAGTGATGTAAAAGTGCAAAAAAATCCAAATCTGAGTAAAAATTTACTATATAAAACACATGTATATACAGGTATTCAAAAAATATTATAAAAAATTTTATAAAAGGATTTGTAGAAATTTTCTAACCACTACTGCAACAAATCTATGAATGATTGCAAAACATAGCATATTCTTATTTTTTCAGTTCCTTGTGTTAGCCAGTATATTTTGCCTGGTGATGGCGTTGTATGAAACATTTGAGTATGCAGTATGTTACCGTGATGAGAAGAAAGCACAGAGACAGAAAATGATGGCAAGTCTTCAGACACAGCAGCCAGCTAGAAACAAACCTACGGATGAAGCAGACCAGTCCGAGTCTCAAAGACTCTTAGATTCTGAATCGGACACAGCGATTTCTATGGAAACTTTTGATGTCCGTGAAGTTGTTTCAGACTTTGAAGATGGCACAGATAATCAAGAAAACAGTGAACTTCAACAATTAATAAATGATTAGAAAATAAGGCACTCTAAGAGTGAAAAAGTGGTGCTCCCAAATGAAGAGAGTGTTCAGTTTATAATAATTTATTTGAAATGGTGCTATAAATAACTTAAGTGGTGTATACTAGTAAAATATATCAAGTTTCCAAACACTTACATGTATTTTATCTGACAAGTCTTTCAGTTTTATTCAATCTATGCACTTTTTCCTATATTAGTTATTGTAACTTTTTGAGTATGAGGGATTTGTCGTCTTAGAGGAGAATTACTGTCTTTTTTATGTTTACTGTGTATTTTTTTAATAAAAAGAAAAAGAAAGGCCTGAGGGCAACAATGCTAATACCTTGTCACTACATCATATAAATCACCTCTGTTACATACAGGAGTTGGAGGCAAGATCTACTTAACTGACTTATTTACCACAAATGTTTGCATAAACATTAATTAAAAATTCTCCAGATGCATTTTATAACTGTGGATGGTAATGTCTATGTCTCACAAGTTTGTCATAGTTCAGAAGAGAGTAAAATTCAAAAGAGCATTCACATACTGTATTGGAAGTCCAAATACTTTACATTTGTCAGTGTTTTGTAAATTATACCATATCCATAAAATCCCGGATAATGTAGAGAATAATACATGCCCTTTTCCATATCAGATCCTGTATCAGCCCGAGACACCAATATCAGCCGGATGGCCGAAGGCTGTTATTGGTCGAGGGCTGATACAAGATTTGATATAGAAAAAGTTATAATTGTTTTATTATATTTAATCACTACGTAGAATACAGCACACATCTACTTTAGCTAAATGAAAATACATGTAAATAATCACTGACTTGCTAATTTTTCAGAAAACAATAATTTAAAAAAAGAGAATGTGAATGAAAAAGTAAGTGTATTGTTTGTAGGTAAAAATCAAGGTTATGCAGCCAGTTACCAAGGCATTTGGTAAAAGATACAAAATGTACACTTAGTTTGTGTGGTTCATATGACCTGGTAATGAAATTGTGTGAAGTATTTTTCAACAATGAAGTCATAATTCAATGTCATGAGATCAGGATAAATGGTATTTTAAAAAAGACAGTACAAACTTAAGTATGACAATAGATATACAGTACATATAGAGAAATGGTGCATTTTGATGCAAGATTTTCCACTTAATAGATATACTGTACATACAGTCAAACCTTGTTATCTCCAACTCAAAGGGACCGAGAAAAATATTACGAGATATCTGAGGGTTCGAGATATTCAGGGTAAAATACTTAAAGAATACCGGGTTGGGAATTCCAAATCACTTCGACATATCCACGGTATGTACAAGATATCAGTGTTTGAGATACCGAAGTTCAATTGTATATATAGAAATTGTGCATTTTAATGCAAGATTTTCCACTTAAGTAGGTCAGTGGTCAAGTTAAGGTCAAAGGTCATATTTAATTTTATCATAGTTGTTTATCTGTCCCACTATTACAATTCAAGGGTCAGGACAAAATGAAATGCAAATGTATGGTAATAATGTGGCATTGTATGATTGTCGAACCCTTGGTGGTATAGCTGAGGAAAGAAAGTCCAGTCTTCGTCTTTATATGATAAATCTATAGCTCATTGGCTCTAATTTAATTATTCATTTGTAAAAGTTATCAAAAAGATAACAAAAACACTGTAAGTAATTAAAAATATTTATTTTAAATATGCAGGTAGAAATCAATGAAGTTTTCATATTCCATGCTTTTTGTCAAATATTTTTTGTCTACTGCTTTATTCAATTTGCATGAATATCTTCTCTTGCCAGTTACAGTAGTCTGGGGTAATTTAAAGCATGCAGCTTGAAATTCAAGTAATTTATAAAATCAACTGAATGCAGAGAATTTATTGCAACCATCCCATCACTTGGTATACGGGAATCTATTCAAAATACATGTACATGCAATATTAAGCAGTTGCATGCATAACAGTATAGGTCAAATACAATATTTTTTCAATATTCATACACATATGTGTAAAATAGAAAAAAAATTACAAAAAATCTACAGATATAAAAATGCTAGTATCACATTTAAAGGGAATGGGACTAAAAACTTAAAAAAAAATGCAATGGATTTCATTATTATTTTTTTGTGTGACCAGGACTGTTAAAAATATAATTTATGTACAAAATTGATGTACATGTATATATAAACATCACATATATTCCCACTTCCTTGTTCGGTAAGTATGTTTTTGTTTGTCTTCTCCGATGGCCTAGTTATTACACAGCTGCAATTAGTGATATGTCTCATAGCCTCTTAGTGAGTCAGCATAAAAACTTTGTCTTTGAGGTTTAAATTAGATTATAATCAAGAAAAATATAGGCTACAGCAACACTTGTATAGAGTCACAAGAAAATATAGGATAATTTAATCATAAAGAGGTAGTACAATGCTTCTGAAAGAAGTAAAACTTTTTCAAAGAAATGCCCTAGCCTATCTGAAATGCTATCAGTTCTACATACACTTCATGTAACAACAGTCATTGTTGATGTCTTACACTTCAAAGGGCACTATCTAAGGTTGTCATGGGTCTAGGAAAAGGATATACATGTACATGTATATGTGTACACTCCAATTATGTACAAATATCTTAAGATGGCATTGATGTGATAATCCTTAATAATTGGTGTAATTCCTCAAATTTAAATTAACTTGTAGGAATGTACATGTATAATATTTTAAAAGATTTTATCATATTTAGATAGAAGCACAAACCAGTGTACAACAATATATATCAAATGGAATGTTACATATAATAAAAATTATCACATTTCTTTGCAGAATATAAAAATAATACTCAGAAGACAACATTAAATATTATTTAAAGTTATAATTAAGTACAATACATTTTTTTTTCCATAGAAAAAATATGCATTTTTAGGCCATCTTCAAAAATTTGTTTGTTTGCCTTCTCCCAACTGACTGGCAAAAATTGCCTGACTCAAAACTTTTTTTTAACCTCGAGGAAACAATTTTTTTTATGCATTCCAGAAAATAGATTTTGAAAATCAGCATTGATTTGAAAATTTTCTGAAAAAAAAAAAATGTTCCCACCTACCTACCCCAATTTTTCATCGTGAGTCTGGAGAGGGCAAGCAAACATTATTTTAAAGTTGGCCCTATGGTAAAAATTAATGAAACAAATGGCAAAATGTACAGAAATTTAAGAAATATGCTTTAGTAGCATTAGGTCCCTATACCATACAGTATTTTGAGTATACATGTATTATGTACATCTTTTGAGAATGAGTATCTTTGTATAGGAATATATATTTTATCCCTTCTTTGATACACTTTGTGGAGTCAAATTGTAAAATAAATTTTTGTTTGATTTACATTTTTGTTATTTTGAAAAAAAAAAATCAACAATTCAGGATTTAGTCAAACAAAAGGTAAAAAAAAAAAATGAAGTTAAAAAAAGAGGCTCATGGGCTCTGGAGGTCTCTCGAGCATCAAACTTTTTTGACAACTTCTCTACACACATGCTACTTTTGTGTACCAGTTATGTTACAAGAACTCCATATCATCTAGCAACCAGCTGTGTGTAGTAGTTTAGTAGAAAAATATAGAATGATTTTTTTTTTGAGTCTGAGGCAATTTAAAACATCATCATTTTAATGCTAGAACTTGTGAATTTTGCTATTCAGTAAATTAAGGTTTCATTGCTTTAACATTTTCATATTTAAAGAGTTTGCCTCTTAGATGACCAAGTTTATCTTGTATATATAATAATGTAATATATAACTACTAGTATATGTATTTAGATTTGTTGAAATTTGTTCAGTAGTTTCCATACAAGAATAAATTCAATTATTTCCTATGTAGCTTGTAACACGAGCTTTGATTGATTACAAAGTCGGGTGTAAATTTCCATACACCTGACTTTAGCCGGGGGTAAAAATGCAAAGTTTCTCTATGATAAAAAGCAAATAACATGACGTCATGATGCATTGTAGGACTTAGTAAATCTTATCGATAGCTTGAAACACAGTTGATTGGACTTGTTTATAAACAATTTATTTGGATACATAGAAAATAAATTCGTTATCCAGGTCCAATCAAGGGTTTATGGGGATTTACCCCAGGTTGTATTCCATACCTCCTTCGGCCTCATGGTGTATGGAATACAACCCGGGTTAAATCCCCGTTCACCCTTGATTGGGCCTGGATAACTAATAATTCAGAAAAATCAACCAGCAATCTATTTCTTTAATGTTATTTTCAAGGCCCAAGCCCAAAGACAAGGCATTTTGCGCACATTTAGGGCGGGGAATAAAATCCTCACTCCTGTTGCTTCCTGGACAAAATATACTGCTGCATCCGACCCTAGCAATGTTACCATGGAAACTGACATATCCTTCAATGACCCCAGAGTAATTTCATTTTTCTCTGGCCAATCCAAAACCAAACAGTAGATCACATTTTTCTCAGACTTGGATGCTGTGTACCTGTTAAAATTCCAAAATCTATGTATCACAGCTCAAGTATATAGACATTACATGTGCATGTTGATTTTAAGCACTGGTTGATAAAATGAATTACAAAGCATCTAAATATACAAGTTATCATAAATAGATTTGCTTAAACATCTCTTCTATTCATAAGATTGTTTTACAAAAGTTACCACAGTTCATTTGAATATTAATTACCATGCTCTTGCCGCCAATGTGTCATTTTGAAAAATCCAGGATTTTGTTTTATAAATAGCTTCCCCATTGACCTTCAGCCATGAACCAAGCTGTCGGAATCTTTCCTCGTAAATTGGGTCAAAAGTTCCCCAAGCTGTTGGTGCAGCATTGATAAGTATGTTTCCTCCAAAGCTGTAACAGAATTTATATCAAATATAGTGTTGCAAGTGTTCACCTGTCAAAACAAAATCATAATATTGAAGAATTTTCCTTTCCATTAGGTTATTAATGTTGGTTGTCCTTGCAATCAACTCGGCTTTTGGAAATGAATTAGAATTAAATTTTTTAAAAAGTTTATAATCTTTCTTGGAGGCTACTGATCTGATGGTATATATCATTTCCTTTCAGATATTCCTCTATGGTACAGTCTTTGTTTGAAGACTATTGACCAGATGGTACATGTATATATCATTTCCTCAATGTTCCTCTGAAATACTCATTGTTTGAGAACTAGTGACAGTATAATAGCGAGTGCAGTGAGCGGCGCGAAGCGCCGCTCGTCACTGCGAGCTCTAATGACAACGCCTGGGCGAAGAGAAAATTCGGACTACTGCACATTCATTCAATAGAATTTTTTTCCGCAGTAATTCTGACCCACAATGAATCGCTTCTTGTTCTCGCTGCTAACTTCGTTCACGCGGTGACAACAACTAAAATTTCACAAAAAATAAACTCACCTTAATTTAATGGCTATTGCATGCAGGTAGTAGATTAAACGTTTTTTGTTAAAATATTTGCACTTTTTAAACTTTGTTTATGGAAATGCAGCTAACATACGACGTCACGTGGCGTCACAGTTTAGACGTTCCAAATGTCTCGTGCGGTTTGAAGAGGCGGATCTTAAAATGAAGTGAACAATGCGCTCGCCCCAACGGTCGCACCGTCAACATATTATATCATTTCCTCCAGGAGTTCCTCTATTATAGTCTTTATTTGAGGACTACTGATCTGACAGTATATATCATTTCCTCTGGGAGTCCTAGTCTTTATTGGAGGACCACTCACCTAACAGTATATATCATTTCCTCCAGGAGTTCCTCTATAGTATAGTACTGGCTTAGATCAGCATCCCTTCTGTATCCCCATGAGAGTTTATCTAATGTCATGGCATTTACCCACTTATGTGGCAGAACATGACCTTAAACACAAAACAGGATCATTATACACAATAATATGTAACACACATTTAAAAAAAGAGAACATAAAATTTCTATGAAATGGCTAAAATTGATGTCTGCCAAACATTTTTTTTTTAATTTTTACAAAGGTCAATCTTTAGTATAGATCCCTGAAAAGTGTTTTTTTTTTCAGGATAATAATTTTCACCTGGATGGAACCTGTCCGAGCAGGTCCAGACTCCCCCATGTTTACAGTCACAGTCCACTCCCCATCTGTCATTAGTGACCACTTCATCTTTGACAGGACTGCAAAGTAAGGGCACTGATTACTTCTGGTTTATAGGGAATCAAACAACAACCACACACAGTAATAAACCACCTGTATCAACCACTCATTGTAATAGGGTTGTTCGAAAAGTTCGTGGACAATGTCAATCCTCATTATACTACTTTCAAGAAATTTAATATAAGCACATTATCATATGTAAAAATATTTATTTTGTTGATGTGTGAAGTTTCATTCCATTCAATTTAATAGAAATCAATTTACTTTATTTTAAAATCAGCATGTTTGGTAACCCCGGAGCAAACTAAATAATATTATAAAGTCAAAAATATAGCGTCACGAGGTTCTAAAAATATTCCCCCTATACATTTCACACAGTCTGATCCAATATCTGCGCATTTAAAATGTGTCTCTATCAATTGAAATTCATTTTGTTATCAATTGTTCCAGTAGCATAATTTTAATTGTCAGTGTTTTCTTTTTTTACCACTTAACTATGCTTTCACAAGACCAACAACCGTTAAACACCTTTCTCTTTCCAAGACGTTACTAACTGAACGTTTTTGGGTTGATTCTTTACAGATAATCCATTTTCTCACAGATCGTCCTCGTCTGATAGAGAGTCTCTATCATTCAAATACCGCCTGGGCCATTTACACAAACATATGCATAACCCGCTTTTTAGATATTTCATGTTTCTTACAACATTTTCAGATTTTATTCTGATGTTTTCCAGAGTACAACAGAAAATTGTATCATAAACTGCTGTTCCGTGACGTTCTACGACGTAACCTTTTTCGCCTTTTTCAATGAGAACTACCTATCTTCAGAAATTGCTTTTCCATGAAACTAACTATTAAGTCATAATTTGGAATATGAAACAATGCAACAATTCTTAATTTGATGGTCTAGATTTATTTTGATTTTCAGCCATTTTACAGAGGATATGACTACAGAAATTAATTAGTGTTTGTAAATTGCTAAATTTTGACTTGCTCTGCGAACCAATTTTTGCACTTTTTAACTCCTAATAAGTTTAAAATAAATCAAGATATTTTAAAAATTTTTAATACAAATCATTTGAATTTATTGTTAAAATATTTCTACCAAATTTGGATATAATATGGCATTAAATAAACAAGAGGCCCTTGGGCCACAGCGCTCACCTGAGTAACTTGGCCTTGCTGTTTTTCACCTGATTTCCCCCCCCCCCCCCCCCCCGTAGTACTTATTGTGGCCCCACCCTACCCCCAGGGATCATGGTTTGAACAATTGGAATCTACACTACCCCAGGATGCTTCCAAGTAAGTTTCAGCTTATCTGGCCCAGTGGTTCTTGAGAAGAAGATTTTTAAAGATTTTTCCTATATATTTCAATGTAAAACTTGGATTCCCTATTGTGGCCCCACCCTACCCCCGGGGGTCATGATTTGAACAATTTAGAATCTACACTACCCCAGCAAGCTTCCACATAAGTTTCAGCTTTTCTGGCCCAGTGGTTCTTGAGAAGAAGATTTTTAAAGATTTTTCCTATATATTTCAATGTAAAACTTGGATTCCCTATTGTGGCCCCGCCCTATCCCTGGGGGTCATGATTTGAACAATTTAGAATCTACACTACCCCAGCATGCTTCCACATAAGTTTCAGCTTTTCAGGTCCAGTGGTTCTTGAGAAGAAGATTTTTTAATGACCCCACCCTATTTTTGTCTTCTCTTGATTATCTCCCCTGAGGGGACTTGGCCCTTCATTTTAACAATTTAAATTCCCCTTCACCCAAGGATGCTTTGTACCAAGTTTGGTCAAAATTGGCCCAGTGGTTCTTGAGAAGAAGTCAAAAATGTGAAAAGTTTACAGACAGACGGACAGACAAACAGACGGACAGACAGACGGACAGACGGACAGACGGACGGACGACGGACAAAATGTGATCAGAAAAGCTCACTTAAGCCTTCGGCTCAGGTGAGCTAAAAAAGATATGACAGAAGTCCACTAACTTTCCGAACAACCCTCGTAATAAACCACCTGTATCAAACATAATAAGCCATCTGTTTCAACCACTAATAAGCCACCTGTTTCAACCACTTATTGTAATAAACCACTTGAATCAACCACTCATTGTAATCAATATACCACCTGTATCAACCACTAATAATTCACCTGTATCAACCACTCATTGTAATGAACTCCTTGTAACAACCACTCATTGTAATAAATCACCTATATCAACCACTAATAAGTCACCTGTTTCAACCACTAATTGTAAATAAACCACCTGTTTCAACCACTCATTGTAATATACCACCTGTATCAACCACTAACAAGCCACCTGTGTCAACCACTAATAAGCAACATGTAACAACTACTCATTGTAATAAACCATCTGTATCAACCACTCATTTTAATTAACCATCTGTATCAACCACTCATTTTAATTAACCATCTGTATCAACCACTCATTTTAATTAACCACCTGTATCAACAACTCATTTTAATAAATCATCTGTATCAACCACTCATTTTAATTAACCATCTGTATCAACCACTCATTTTAATTAACCACCTGTATCAACCACTCATTTTATTTAACCACCTGTATCAACCACTCATTTTAATTAACCACCTGTATCAACCACTCATTTGTAATAAACCATCTGTATCAACCACTCATTTGTAATAAACCATCTGTATCAACCACTCATTTTAATTAACCATCTGTATCAACCACTCATTTTAATTAACCACCTGTATCAACCACTCATTTTAATTAACCACCTGTATCAACCACTCATTTTAATTAACCACCTGTATCAACCACTCATTTTAATAAATCATCTGTATCAACCACTCATTTTAATTAACCACCTGTATCAACCACTCATTTTAATAAATCATCTGTATCAACCACTCATTTTAAAATATCATCTGTATCAACCACTCATTTTAATTAACCATCTGTATCAACCACTCATTTTAATTAACCACCTGTATCAACCACTCATTTTAATAAATCATCTGTATCACCACTAACAAGCCACCTGTATCAACCACTCATAAGCAACATGTAACAACTACTCATCGTAATAAACCATCTGTATCAACCATTCATTTTAATTAACCATCTGCATCAACCACTCATTTTAATTAACCATCTGTATCAACCACTCATTTTAATTAACCATCTGTATCAACCACTCACTGTAACAAATTATCTTTAAGGAAGACATACATATGCAAGAGGTTGATTGTTGATTAATTTTATAATTTTAATTCTATAAAATTAGGTACATCTTTCCATCAGCTTGTAACATAAAAATTACTATGAAGCTTAAATAATATCTTTTACATGCAGGATCAGTAAATGGACCCTGTCCCAATTGAAAATTGAATTATAAGGTAAAAATTCCTAAATGAAAAGCACAGTGAATGTTTTTCAGTGCTTTTTATCAACAATCTTGAATTTTGAGATTATAAAAAATGTGTATTGAGGATGTTTACAACTCAACTGCTTTATTCTATAGCAAACATCAATATTTCAATATTTTGCCTTTTGTTCAAAAGGCTACAGGACCCTGTACCAAAAGTGTCAATTAAGTCTTACAATATTCATGGAGTTAGGATCAGAGCCAAAATGTTTGGTTTTCCCCTCAGGGGTTTATAACATACTGATGCATAGTGAAAACATCTGATAACATTATCTCACTTGATAGAATATCTAAGACGCTACATATAAAAACCATTTTTTTTAATTTTTGTCTCTAATTTACCTTTATTGGTTTCTTAAAAACAAATACAAGTAACCATAATAAAATACCTGTTATTGTACAGCCAGGCCAAGAATATAGTAGCATTCCAGTACCAGCTTGGAGCATGCCATGATGGAGCTAACCAGGCACCATCATTCCAGAAAACATCGGGTTCATAGGCATTGACAACCTCATACATCAAAGGCAGCATATAGTCCTGTTTAAAGGTAGACCAATTATAAAAAGTAAAGGCTTTAAAACAAAATGTCAAGACATACAGACTGAAGTAATAAAGTTTCCATCTCTGAAACGTGTAAATACATGACAGACAGACAGACAGACTGTAGTGATCCCACAATGTTCTTTTACAGTGGAGTAATACATTCATACATAATTTCACTTTGGCAAACCAATCTCCTTCCTTTGAACAGCTTGGAAAAGACTGCCAAAAAGAGTCAATGGTACTGTCCTTACTGTAAAGACTTAACTTCTGATTGAAGCACTCATACACTGCTTGTTTGGGATTCTTAGGTCTGATTGTACATATATTTTTTAAATTTTTTTAACAAAAATATTAAAATATCTTTTTAAAAAAAAATTAACAAAAATATTAAAATATCTGTAAGCAGGAAATTCTATGCATTATGATCAACAAGAGAAAGTACTATCTCACTTTAACAAATCTATTTGTTGTGTAGTTATTCTTGACATCTTCAAGCCACAGTGGGTTGAACCATTCAATCATGTCATGGTAGATACCAAATCTTACATCTGTCCCCTTCAATGCTTCTTTCAAAGGACCTATAAACCATGACAAAACAGATATCAAAGATAATTTTTTAATACCACATTTACCAATTCAGTATGCTGTCCAAACCTGAATTGCTGCTTTATTGACCATATTTTGATTTTGGCTGCTTTTTAACATAAGCCTATCATTTTTTATACTTCAGAAATTGAAAATGAAAAACTTAATAATAAAATTCAATAAATGGAACATAATATACAGTCATACATATCTACAGAAAATCTTTATTTTTAATTTAAATCTTTAGCAATAGACTTCCTCAAACAGACTAAACAGCAAAAATTTTTGTCTGATATACATAGGAAATGTTTTTATTTATCAAAACTCAAATCATGCTCATTTACTGTCTGAAAAAGAAATACAATGTAACAGTAAATGACCTAGTACCGAGACATAAAACTGCTTTATATAATATATGAGGAAGTTCAACACAAGAGACATGGATATTGTTTAAATTAAGTAGCAATTAAATGCATAACATGTACGAAATCAATGATTTTTTTTGACTGCATGGTCGTAATTTCTTTTTAGTTTATTCCTGCTAATGCTTTTTTAAATGAAAATATTGTGCCAATTAATTCAGACCCTTCAATATCAAGAGTTTTCAATCAATCTGAAGTCTTCTTGACTAAATAAACAGACTTTGAAATACAAAAATTTAAAATATCCAACCACTATATATGGAACAAGAAGTCTTACGTAAAATACTTATAGACTCACTGTCACATGCTAGTTTTACTTACCCACTAGATCTCTCTTGGGACCAACATCTCTTGCGTTCCACTGATAAGTCACATTGGTTGGGTACATGTTAAATCCATCACAATGTTTGGATGTCAACACAACATATCTATGGATAAAAATAAAATTATGTTTGCTCTCAAAGAAGACTTATTGATAAATACATAGATCTATGAAACATACATGTACATGTAGAGAAATTAAGTCACAAAGGACAAGCATGACTGTAGATTAGTTCCAATTTTGGTCTCCTTCATGGGTATATCGAAGAACAATACAACTCATAATTTAACACCTACCATTACGCAACTTTTAAGATATTAAGTATTAAAACATAAAGGTCATAGATATATCATGAGTTCACCTAAGTAAAATAGCACAATTTTCATTCTCTTGTAGATCCTTTGTATCATGTAAAACAAAATCAATGCTACTTCTAAATCTAGCTATATTGAAGCTTCTTAATCTATTTACAAACTTTCCCGTCTCTCCTTTGGCACTTCATGTTAAAAATAATGGTCTGAATTTGAACTGCACCTTTGTTCCTTAATATGGCACTAATATTTATCAGGTCCTATTAGGGAAAATCAATTCTATTTGTATTAAGAAAACATGCTTAAGTAAAGAAAAATCAAATTTGTTTTCTTGCACCCCCATCCAAACACATGCACACAAAAAAAAGTAAAGTAGCAAGGGTTGACATTTTAATTATCAATTATTAATTTTCATGTTTTGGTACTTGTTGATATACCAAAATAAATAAATAAATAAAATTGATAAATCAAGATATTTTTACACACAATTTTACTACAATTTCAAATGAATCTCCATAATATATGTTTGGATGACATTGTTTAACTGTTTTCAACATTTTTTTTTACACTTCCTGTAATTGTCATTCAATGTTTTAACAAATAAATAAATAATTTCCAGAATTTGTAGTTATGTACCAAATACCGGTATTTTAGTCTTCTTATCACGATACATATCACGCAATAAAAAAATCGCAATATACCAGTATACAGATAAATCATGCATCCCTAGTCGATGTCCACAGCCCAAACCATTAACTTACATTCCATCCTGGCCTCCTTAAATTTGTCAAAGACACAACCCAAGTTCTTATTGCCCCTGGCAGGACTTTCACCTGCAAGTCTAGGGGTGGTCAACAACACCAACAGCCAAAACCATTACATTCCTCTTTCCTTAAATTTGTCAAAGACACAACCCAAGTTCTTATTGCCCCTGGCAGGACTTTCACCTGCAAGTCTAGGGGTGGTCAACGACACCAACAGCCAAAACCATTACATTCCTCCCTCCTTAAATTTGTCAAAGACACAACCCAAGTTCTTATTGCCCCTGGCAGGACTTTCACCTGCAAGTCTAGGGGTGGTCAACGACACCAACAGCCAAAACCATTACATTCCTCCCTCCTTAAATTTGTCAAAGACACAACCCAAGTTCTTTTTGCCCCTGGCAGGACTTTCACCTGCAAGTCTAGGGGTGGTCAACAACACCAACTGCCAAAACCATTACATTCCTCTTTCCTTAAATTTGTCAAAGACACAACTCAAGTTCTTATTTGCCCCTGGAAGGACTTTCACCTGCAAGTTCAGGGGTGGTCAACGGCACCAAATCTTAACAGGAAAGGAGAAAGTGTATGACTGGATTGGAAATCGAACCTGGGACCCCTGCATCACTACTCAGATGCTCTACCGACTGAGCTACCCAGGCTATATCCACAGTCCAAAACCATTACACATGTGTGTAATAAAGTTACACAAAGGTGCTTACTTTACACCTGAGGCTTGAATGATTTCTTTCCATTTGTTTGGATCATAAAATTCTGCGCGAAACTGCTTTGCAAAATCTGCATAGGTAAAATTTGGCGGGTAGAATTTCTTCATAAAGTTCACCACATCGGCCGTCGGTCCTCCTTTCCAGAACCACCAAAACCACTCGCTATGCATCGACGGGACAGAGTACACACCCCAGTTGATGAACATTCCAACTTTGGCATCGTCGTACCATGCTGGAATGGGTCGGGAGTCAATGCTCTCCCATGTTGGTTGATACTTCTGGCAATCTGTTTCTAAAATAAAGCTTGCAAAAGAAATAATTATTGCTAAACTGCCAACCCTCATCGTGAAAGTGAAAGTAGCGTCATGTGATTTGAAGGTAACACGTCGATTCGTCCTTTAACATATTCGGACCTTAATGATTTTTTTTTATGAACAATTGCAGTTTCAGTCCCAGATGCCTAGTCATTCTGGCCTTTAGAAGTGATAATGAATCAACATATAAGATTCAAGATTAGGCTCTAAGACCATAAACTGAGAACAGACTTAGTCAAAATTTCAATTTGGTATAACTTTTGAAATAAATTCCAAAATAAAACAAAATTTGCATGTTGTGCTTGTATTAAAATATCTACAGACTTGCAAGTTTTTAAGCATGTTGGTTAAATAGAAATTAAGATATTCAAAATCTAAGTTTTGACTTAAGTACATTCTCAGTTTATGGTCTTTGGGCTAGAATAATGTCTGCCTCTATCTATTTTGCTATAGTGCTACATGTAACACTCAAAACGAATCTTTAAACTGGATCGGTAAGTAAGCAAGACAACAACATTTTAATAATAGAGCATTAGATCCAATTTTCAACACCGTCTCACTCTCACAATTTTCTCTAATGAATATGCTTGTAAATAAATTTAGGAAGCAATTTCATTTGGGGGAGGGGCAACCAAACATTTCAGATTGGGTGGGCACTATTAAGTAAAGCTGCAAAATTTCCTTCTTAACTTTTTAAATAAATTAAAAGAGATCCATGAACCACAACACTCACCTGAGTACCTTTAGCACTACTAAAGTGTTCTTCAGAAGGTTTTGAAAGATTTTTATATTACAATGAAAAATTGTTACCCATGTGACCATATCATAGTGAACATTAGAAGGCCCCATCCTAACTCTAAGAGGTCTCTGAATCCACACAATATGGGAATGCTTCAATATCAATATGACTAAATGACCTTGCAGTTATTAAGAGGAAAATTCTTTTTTTTTTTTTTTCTTTTCTTTCTTTTTTTTTTTTTTTGTATACACATGATACATCCATTATGTAAAAATTGATAATGATTTTAGCTGACGTACTCTAATAATAGGGTCCATAATTAAAAAAAAATTTAATCCACACATCTGGGAATGTTTGCAAATTAATTAATGGTTCTATTGTTGTTCTTGAGAAGATTTTTATAAAATAATACACTGTATGAACAATTAAGCCCTCACATATAAGCCCCATCTTTTCTTGTATAGCGGTCCCTGCATGAGAGGAAGATTTGTGTTTTAATTGTACTAATATTTATTACAAAAACAAGTACGTGTGGTAATTATTGAGGGGGCACATTCATAAATAAGCTTGGTTTTCTACAGTATACTATATATATATATCGGCAAAACTTTTAGGAAGCCCCATCCCAACCCCACCCACCCGTTCCTACGGACATGATTATCATTATTTTTCTATCCTCATTTTTCATTATATATTTCATTATTCAAAGTGTTTTAATTATTATATACTTTTTTTAATTTGTTAGTTTTAAAAGAAAATTGGGGTCATTGTGTAAAATTTTGAGAAATTTTCGAGTGTATGAGGTGGGTAACTATATAGGTTTCAACATTTGTAGCATATATGATACATACTGGCACCAAATGCATAAAATTGTAACTCCCCCCCCCCCCCCAATGTTTACCATCGGTTTACTTACACATTGAACGTAGGTAGCCAATTCTATTATTTCCCTTTCTCTCCTGAGTACCTGCGCTGTACTGAAAGAAACAAAACAAACATTTCATTTGAAAAGTTCTGATATAGTAGTCTTCTGAGTAATGAATATTCATTATATATAAAAAGAATTGATAAAACATTGAGGGAGTCAGCGAAACTCTAGTTCCCGGCCGTGAGAAAGCCTATTTCGTTAGGCTTGCTCGTGGGGAACTGAAATATTACTGACACTTTCACTTATTACACCACTTTACAAAAATGGTGATCTAAATGATACAAATAATTACAGACTGAGGTCTTTGTGTTACAAGTTGTCTTGGGAAACTCTTTACTGGAATTTTACAACAACGCTTAAATTACTATCTTGAATCTAATAATCTTCTCGGTCAATATCATTCGAGTTTAAAAAAAAACCCATAGAACTACGGACAATATCTATGTTTTAAGAACACCTATTAGCAAATATGCATTTAAAAAGAAAAAGAAACTATTTGCCTGCTTTGTAGACTTTTCCAAAGCCTTTGACATTGTTTGGAGATCTGCACTTTTATATAAAATTAATAAAAAAAAAAAAGGCATTGGTGGCAATTTTTTGAAACTTTTATACAATATGTATACAAATACTTATTACTCCTGTAAAAAAGACAATCAATTAAATGAGTGAAGAATTTTTAGCAAATAGAGGCGTGAAACAGTGATAACCTGAGCCCAGCACTTTTCAATATTTTTATTGATGATTTCGTAAAATATTTCAATAATACAGCTACAAATCCAGCTTATTTAGATTCATTGCCTAAATTAACCACATGTTTTTGCTGCTGATCTTATTCTTGTATCGGAGACACCTATTGGTTTACAGAAATGTATAGATATTTTAAGTAAATATTGTCATGAATGGAAATTATGCGTGAACGTGGGTAAAAAAAAAAACAAACAAAAACAAATGATTTTTTCACAAAGTACAAATAATGAAAAAGAAAATGGTTTTTACTACATTCATAGTCCTATAGAAATAAATCAGTATAAATATTTGGGACTTGTATTTAAATCTGATGGAAAAACGAAATTCTCAGCAGAACAGCTGTCAGAAAGAGCTAGAAAGGCCTATTATGCTATAAAAACTAATTTTCCAGCTAATATAAATTTTTCTGTCGAGACAATATTAAAACTTTATAAATCTATGATTACTCCAATCTTAACTTATGGTTCTGAAATTTGGATTGCCGACTCCAAATGTGATTTATTATCCTCAGATCATTTCCCATTTGAAAAAAATACAACTCCATTAAAGACATTCTGGGTGTTCATAGAAAATCATCTAATATTGCTGTTCTTATATGAGTTGGGACAATTCCCACTATTTTACTTGTGTTATGAAAATATGTTTAAATTTTATTCAAGATTGAAAAATTTTGAGTCAGAGAATGAGCATCATGACCAATTAGTGGTGTCTGCATTTAAGGAAGATAAAACACTGGGGTCTAGAGTCTTGGCAAAGAAAGCTTTTTACTCTACAACAGAAATTGTCTTTATCCTTATTGGACATATCACATAAAACTTTAAGACATAAATTAGAGGAGCACTATAGGAACAAAATCTGTGAACAGTTAAAGAACATTTCTAAATCAGATTCTGGAAAATTAACTTTTTATAGTAATATATTAAATTTAAATGAATATAAATTACAGTACTACCTACAATTACCTTTAAAGAAATCTGAAAGAACAATCCTAACAAAACTAAGAATTAGTTCTCATACACTACATATTGAAATGGGGAGGTACTCAAGGTCACCTATTCCTAGAGAAAAATGTGTATGTCATTCTTGTAAACTTTTTATTGAAAATGAAAAACTTTTGTACTTTATTGTCCTAGTTATATGATAAGTATAGATTAAAACATTGTGATATATTTAATGCTCAATGTTACATGAAGGAAAATCCTATTATTGACACTAAGACGTGTGACCTAGGCCTTGACGTTGTTGACATTGACGATATTTCCCAGCACTTACATTTTGCAGTCTTTTCTTACTTAACAGTGCAGACAAGTTGTCAAAACTTCGTTTTATTCATATTTCTCATAAATCTTTTGATTTATTATACAATCATCTTAATAGAAACGCGTGATTTTGACTCATGATGTATTTTTCACTAAAATAAGGAAAAGGTTTTTAAAAAATCACTAAAAATATCTATTGTATCATAATCTCCGTTTGGGTATTTGAAATCTACATATAATAAGTGGTGTTGTAATGATATCTAAAATAAACTGTGGGTGCAATGAGCCTCCTTAATTGTACTTCCACTATACATGGTAAGTGAATTATATTGAATAGAACTCATGTTCTATGCCATGCCAACTTATGAAATACCTCGCAGACAGATTTTTTTATGCAGCGGTAATGAATTGTAATTTTAAGTCTTCTTATTGGTAAAATATAGCGCTAATGCACCCTTGAAATCGAAATGAGAAGTAATGGTAATGAGTTGTAATATCTTTCAATGTATCTCAATGATGGACTTCCTCCCAGGCCCGCCCCGAACACCCCCCCCCCCCATCCGCGCATAAAAATAAATCATTAAAAATATCAAAATGCAAAACACAAACCATACCAAGCCTAAGTAGCCCAACTTCAAAATAGAATTAAAAGAAAATGTACTCTCAGATAAACGTCATGACCTTTGTAAAATTCGAACAAAACCTTTCGTTTAAAATCCAGGGTAAATATGAAGGACTAGGAAATAAAAATGTATGTGGAATGACAATGTTATCAAATTAAAGTAACTGTTATAATTCTTTTTTTGCAGTCAATATACATTATTTTTGTTAGTGATAAGTAGGAAACTGTTTAATTAGTTCACAAACTTGCGTTAAAAACATTTCCTACTTGACTCCCGTGTCAATCAAAATTTTGATCTTTTTTTAATGATAATCTAAATATAAGTAAAATCAAGTGTCGCATACCCTATTAAAAGAAACGTTTGCTTCCTTGTTCTAAACAAATCAACAACAAAGCAAGTAGTATAAAATGGAGACATTATGGCTCATCTGGCTGGTACTTCCATTGTTTTTTCTTCAATTAGTGTCTCTTGGACAGGGTGAGTAACAATTTTAGTTTCCCCTTTTTTACTTTAAGGAGGGATTCTTGTCTGGTTTCTGATGAGATGAAATATTCAAAGTATATTTGGACATATGTCTTATATAATTAGATGTAAGATATTTAAAATATCATACTTTTCTTTCCTCATCATAATTGTACAACTTAAAATAGAAATGATAAACTGAGTTTGAAATCTAGCAGGGACTATATTTTTGGCGGAATGGCGGCGTATGAAAATATCTCTTTTTCTGCTTCTCAAAATGACTATAGAAC